TGCCGAAGGGAACAATTTGTCTCGTAAGAAGAACGCGGCATGGCTAGCTCACACAGAACGTCGAAGAAGGTGAGCAGAGTCTTTGACCTCCCCGTACCGCTGATTCCTGGTGATCGTTGTGGGCGTTAAAGGGACTGTGGGCAGTTTCTCGACATCCTGGACGATACTGATCCCCGTCTGCTCGCTTCCATGGATCGTAAAGTGAACAGTTTTATGGGATGACGGTGCTTTCGCGGACCATTACAACGAAGCACAGATACTTGTTTCACTGCTCTGTCGATACGCCGCGCCTGATAGGAATATCAATTTAGAGTGCAAACGAAGGTAAAGTTTAAACTACAGTATTTTGCAATCGACTTTGTTTCCAAAGTATTAAAATACTCCTACTATGTAGATAAAGTGCGTAATGGGTTTGTTTTACGTACGTCTAGGGTAAACCTTGACGATTCTCGGGAACAATGATTCACGGGTTTGCAAGGTAACGGGACACAGCGTTAAAATGGCTCTGAACGAAACGGCGACCTAATATGGCCAAGCTGGGCCAATGTTTTCGTTGCTTACGCAATCGTTTCCATGTAGCAATTTCTTCGCATGTTGGTCCACTTCTTCGTTACGTAACGTGCTGAAAACAGGTAACCAACTTCTTTGTGAACCACGTCGAGTGCATCTTGATATTTTACCCGCTATAAGCTTCGGCAATCTTCGGCAAGAGGATGACCAGCATATTTCGGGAAAGAACTGGTTTTTCTTGTAGAATACTTTCTGCAGCCGACTCGAATCCGTTTGCAGAGAAGCGGCAAGAGAGATAATTTGATTAGGTAATTTTTAATGGAAACGCTCGAACAGAGTGACCAGAATCTTCCACGAGTTGATGTAACCGCGAGCGTTTCGCAAACTGATCCGTGGAAGGCTAAACCCGGCATCGGATGTTCGCACAAGCATACAAATAACACCGCTGCCAGCTTGCGTTACTCATTAATGGCATCATATCTCTATTTGCACTGACTTCCCTATTCCATTTATACATCTTGCCTGGGTAAATAGAACATCCTACAACCTCGAAGTTGAACAGTTGAACTAAGTCATTTTCCTAGAAAACTGCGTGTCGTCATAAAATGTTAGTCTTCCATTGCTAGAAAATGGTCCAACGATTTTACAATTAATTAAACTGTTATGAAATTACCATTTGCTCCGGTCATCTTGTATATTTTTTATTAAGCTATATCTTTGAATTTCATTTCATCCTTTCGTCGGAGAAACTGAGTTTTTAATTAATTCGGATCCCCTTTCTCAGAAAGTCTTCTTCAAAGTAACATACGAGACAACTTTCGTAGAACTCATCTTTCGAAAGTTCCCTCATGCATAATTCGATATGGAATCGCGAATAAAGTTTGAAAGGTAGCTGAACACTACAATTTGTTTTTTTTTTATGTGCTCGCAAAAGGTTGCCATCTCTTTCGGCTATGCGTCCAACAGGATAGGTCCTTAAAACGACCATCGTGAGTGGGACGACACCTCGTGGGTAGCCAGCGATGCCCACGCACCACTCGTAAAAGTAAAAGTCTACGATCGATTCTTTCCTTTGTAATTCTACGTATTTGCCTCTGCATTCGTGTTGTTTAGATACCGGTGCATCTTGCAAACGCTGAACACGTTTCAACAAATTCCGGCTTGGCGAATAGTTTAAACAAATGGACGTGCGATGCGTACAGTATTAAGAGAAAATCCGTGATGTGAAGAAGTTTCCAAAATTCTATGAGTTTAAACACCTTGCGATTCGCTTTCACATTTACTTAATCTTCTGGGAATGGACTGAACGTTTTCGCTTTGCTTTGCTTCTAATTTGCATAAACTTCGTCATGCAACGATTAGCTTCAGTTTTACCTCTCCATTCCATACTGTCGAGGTTGCGTTTAGCATTTTACGAACATTAACTCATTTATATTCGCTGGAGACGAGTATCTCGAAATCGCCGAACAGTAGGGAAACGATTTAAATCGGTCAGTCGTCTTTCGAAATCGATTAGCTTTCGTTCACGACAACGTCATGAACTTTCGATGATATTACGTAAACGTATACGCATAATTTCTTCGATGAAACACGTGCAACTGCAAAATTGAAATAAGTCATTAATTAAAATATGAATTAAAATTTTGAGTCTAATCTATTAGTTATTATTTTGTCAACCTTAAGGGATAAAGAAGTATCGACGGGAGCAGGCATGGATAATTTTACGCCACGTCACGTAACGAAATTACACCGAATGAAATTTCACCATGGGGTAGACTGCAATTACATGCTTCACGCTCTCAAACTGAGTCAGACTGTAGGGTAAGAACCGCATGCTTGAAAAAAGTGAGAGGTAGCAAAGCTTGACATTACGTTGTGGTAAGGTGAACAAGATTTTAAGAAAGATTTTTGCAATTCGAAAATACTACGGGTACCTCTTCGATGATGTCTTCGGCATAAAGAACGTAGGACTGCATAATAATATTTTAACATAAATGTTTAAACGACTCATAAATTAATTACAACGTGCATAGAAGTAAAAATAAAAATGATTCCTCGTTATAGAAAATGTATGT